TAACTATAATTAAATTAATCAATAAACAGATCTCACTACAGTATTTATCTGGTCTGTCCTTGGCACCAAAATGAAAGGAGTTCAGAGGAATTGCAGATCCTTTCATTTAGTAAATAAAAGCTTGTGTATATATCTTTTCCTTTAGTATAGAGATGCAGCTCTTCAGCATTAGATTTACAAGTACATGTGCTGTAGATAATGGACCCTTAGATTCAATTGTATGACATACGTTAAAATAGCTTTGTGGTTGCAAAAATAAGAGGAAACAAGTTACAGAAGATAACACTTTGAGACTTCGAAAGCAAATAGAAATGTATAGACAGGATAGATTAAGGAATAGAGATTAGGTATTGTGCTTTTCACTTCAAATTATGAACTGAAACTAATATCGACTGGCTGCACTAGTGAGAGCCTATCATCTGTGTAGTAAATATTTTTTGTTTTTTTTGTTTTTCTGCCTGCTCTTTAAAATATACTTCAGAATGGTTGAGATTGTCAGAGAACTTTGGAAAATTTGAAAATACATTCCATTAAAAAGTAATATGAAGTAGTATTTATCTATCTTGTGGATTACCCTAAAATTCTTAATTTTCCTTGATGTTTATTAGAAGCAACAAGGCCTAAAATTTGAACCAGCAGTATTCCTGTTCAAAACTAGTATGATAAAGGCTTAGTTTCAATAGCAGCAAAAATGACTATATCACTTGGAAAAAAGGTGAAAATAAGCTTGTACAGTTTAGCTAAATGACTATTTTATTACAGGTAGTTATATGAGGAAAAAAGAATGGCCATTTGTTCTTCGTGACAGATTATTTATAAAAATAAAACACAAGCAAAAGAAGATGTCTGAACTGTGGGGTCTATTAATACTGTTGAATTACTAAAGCACTAATATTTGACCTATTTAAGAGCCCCAATATCAGGCTTTGGGAAAAACATCTACAATATACCTGAAAAGTCCAGTTGCTGCCTACAGTTTATATGAAAAGTAGTAAAATACATAGAATAAATTTCTGCCTGTATCTTGGTATGGCTTGAGCTAACCTCACAATTTTAAGATAGACTTTAGTTTGCAGGATACCAGCTAACTGTTTTGCACTGAAGATTACTAAATGTACCATATGTGTGTACGTGTGTGCCCATGTGTGAGTGAGTGTGTGTATGCAGTAAATGAAGCACTCGTGTGCCATTTTCAGCCCGGGAAAGAAGAAAGCTGCTGAAGTGGTTTTTTGTTCTCACCCCGCCTTCCCCCCCCCCCCCCCCCCCCCCTTTTATTGGCCTAAATGAATGTTACAAAGAGGAAACCAGATGTGAGACAGGGATGACATGAAAGGATAGGTAATTAATATCGTCTGACTTAAGTTTCTTATCTTGATGGACTGATGTTTACAACACTGACCTTGGGGTGGGGGAAAGCACGACCTCCTTCAATATGAAATGAGAAAAGTCCGAAGGCTTTTGAGCTTCACAGAGAGCTCTGCTTCTCCTGTGAAGTGCAGTTTGATTTTCTATGTGTATGCATGTGAACATACAACTGTGTCTAACAGCAAGCTCTCTTAACTTACCTTTCACTAAGAAAATGTTAATGGTATTTTCATATGGTATGTTACTTTCTCCCCTTAGTTTTCTTTTGCTTCTAATTTATTTCATAACAAATTCAAGTCAAGTGTCCGAGAATCTAGGTAGAGAGGAGATGAGAGGCCTGCATAAAACCAGCACTATTTCCAATAGTTGATATTGCTGTCAAAAATAATAAAAAAAAATCACCTTTTGTTCTTATTTATTTATTTATGACATTTTGTCCATCATATTGTAATGAGTTTCTGCCGAGGAATAAAAGCAGCTTGTCTCTTTGAAAGCAGAGATGCAACTATTTTTTTGGGTGTTTGTTATCAAAACACAAGCTGTTTTTCCTTCCTCAAAGGATACCTTGCTGTACAATGGAAGAAACATCAAGAATTAAATTAGACAGCATCAAGTTCACATGAAAGAAAATACATTTCTTTAAACAGATTTTTTTTTTTTTTTTTTTTACAGGGAAACGAAGATGTAGGGGTTTAGTAATCTGCCTCTTCTCCAGCATGTGCTACTTTCTCTGCATAGATTTGATAGTATGAAACCAAATGGCAGATTTCATGATAACAGTCTAATTGTGAACAAGGAGCTTGAATTAACTTAAGTCATTTGGGAGGTCTTTGATAATTCCATATATTAGCAGGGTCTGGTACATTTTCTGGTCCCCTGCACATTTCAGAATGTGTTTCTGACTTTGATCATTTCATGATGTTAAGCATAAATCACAGACTAATTTACTATTTGCTTTGAGTGTTTTTTTATATAAATCTTTGACAGTCTTTCAGAACAAGCAGAATAATCCTGTGTACTGGAAAACAATAACATTTCCATTTGCAGCAATTAAAGTGGGACTACTAAAAGTGTGGGGCAGAGACCTCTGACTGACAAAAGGTTTAGAAAATTTCAGGATGTCAACTCACTGGCCATGGGCCATAGCTGTTGTTTTTTATGAGCATGCATGTATCCAGATGTGATGATTTGGAATATCTTTATAACTAGGTTGTAGCAGTCATTTTTGTTTTATAAGTGACATGTTTGTCGGTGGTCTCCAAAACTTTCTAAGCCGCTGATTTAAAAAAAATGCCACCATATTTCTTTATGTGGTTTGTTTTCATTTTCTTCTCAGCCTAGATTCTAATATATTTTGATATACAGGAATTTTATTAAAGGATTTCATTTTGTTCTTCCAGTTTCTGGCTTCAATGAGTGCACTACGTATACATTTGAGGGTGGAATGATGTAAAATGAACTTGTGTAGTGAACCCCTGTTTATACCACAACAGGACTGAAGCTCTGCATTGTCTTGATGCAGTTAACCAGTTCAAATCTTAAGTACGTTTCCATTTATAGTGCCTTTGCTCTGTGTTATCATTTACTTGTAAGTCTGTTCATTGAACAATGAATGAATTGTGCAAACAAGTAAAAAGAAAGGGGGAGACACAACCCCCATCCCCAAACATTTGTTTACTATTATATTAGCAAAAGGGCCTAGTTATTATTATCGCATGTATAACTTGTTTGTCCTGACAATGTCTGTGTTCCAAGCTTACTTGCTTGCTTTACTTATTATTGTCTTGATCCTTTATGATAATTTTTTTTGCAACTGGTTGTTTTTGCAGTAATTCCCTGTAAGATTTCAGCATAAGGATGATATAATTACTAAATAAATGTGTCGTAATTAATGTGACTGTTTATTACTGATTTTGAGTTGATATGAGATAACAAACTCCCTCAGAAGTGTACCAAGCTGGATTCTTAGACGAAGTGGTTATGATACAGATTCACCTATTCAATCAGGATGCAGTTTTCTTCATTGGGAGCATCAGTGAACAGACATTTCACAGAAACTCAGAGGACTGAAGTGCTTAAATCCCACTAAAATGAAAACTGCCTTAGGCAGTCTTCAAGTTCTTTAGATTATTTTCAATGACCCAGCCGTTATTTTCAGCCGTGAGAGTGAATCCTCACAGCAATGGTAGGCAGGCCAGTCCTGCATCCGTCTGGTATAGAACAGGTTGAGAGCAGAAAAATGAAGAGTTGCTGGAGCGGCTAATTTATGGAGAATCTGTTTTTTATATCTGAAAGTTACTGAAAGTCAATGAAGTTAATGTTAGGTATGAGGCTGATGCCGCATACTTAATGCGGCATTAAATAATCTTTGTCTGAATATTTACCTGAGCTTTGGGATCGCTTACTATTTCACTTATATAGAAGATATTGAACAGGCAAAGCCTCTATTTCTAAAGGCAGTAAGGACTACATTTTCAAAGGTGGTATTTAAGGTTATAAATAGAAGACCAAGGACCAGACCAAGTAGTCTGGGTGGTTAGCTACATAATTCATGTGGAAATACGTTGAAACTAATGTAAGCTAGAAAGAGTTTGATTGGGTACTTATGAAAATCTGATGGAAATCTACTTAGAAGCTCAGTATGCTTTGAAAAGGGCTACTGTTATGTTCAGCTATTGACTTACCATCTTCAGTAATATGTACATGAAAGCAGTTGCCAGATGTACACCTTAGATGTATGATTTGGTCTTATTAGAACATATAATCATTTACAGATTTTATTTTACTTTCAGACTGGCCAGAGATTGTGGAAAAAATTAGAAGAAAAAAATCATAGTGAATGAATCACTGAGTGAGTCTCTATGAAGAAATGTTTCACTTTCAACATCTCTGACCATACTGCTAATAACAACAGTAATGGAAGTAACATTTTTTTTTTTTTCAATTAAGACTTTAAAAAGTGAATTTACATGTTCCCTTTTCAAAAGTTACTTTTGGGATGACTTTCAACCAAACTTATACAAATTTGAAAAAATTGTCACTCAATGAGTATTTTTCACAGCAAGAATATATGATGATAGTAAAAATTCTTCTTTCATATCCTACTTGCAGGTTTTCCTTTGTAAATACAGCTTGTTAAGTAGTTGTGTACACCTGCCAATAGATGTGTATTGATTAACTTTGCTCTTTGTAAATCATAAAATCATACATATTTATGCTCTCTTACTGATTTCAGTTCTTTAGAACTTTTATTACTGGGATGATTTTTTTCTCAAATGTAAATACTAGATACAATATTTTAATGTATTGCTGTGTGAGAGAAATGCACACAATTATGGTTTTGGCTAAGACTCTGAAAACATCAAAAATCCCATCTATATTAATATATTTATATCTAGTTTAGATTTGCTTCCTTCAGTAGTAGGAGTTTGCTTAGCAGAAAGTTATCAAATATTGTATAAAGAGGGGATAGGAGAGTGTAGGTTAAAAAAATTGAACAGTGCTCCCTGTTTTCTAGTACAGCTTGCTAGAATGTGATATATGAATGGTATTAGCTGTGCATCCTTTAAAACTGTTATTAATAGCTAAGCACTGTATAGATAATTTGGGGATAAAAAGCAGGATGGAGTGCAGAAATAATTCTTGTGTTCAAGATAGATTTATTTTTCTTTGTTGCTTTTTGTGAGAACACTTAATGTGTGTGCTGAAGGGATGCACCTTAAAATTAGATATTATATATCAAAATGTTTTTCTGGTAGATAAAATCAATTGGTATTACATAAGCTTGTTCATCGGGAGCTGTTTTCAGGAAAACCAACTTTTGACAAACTCCAGCTTTTTCTTTTATTTTTTTATTTTCTTTCCTGAAGGGAACCGAAACTAATGTCTTAAACAGAGCTTCTGATTCTTCTCTTTGGAAATCACTGGGGTCTTACAGAGGAACTGAAATCTTGTCTCCATAATTTTTGCATAAACCAAGTTTATCAACTGAATGGTTTTGAGACCTTATGTCCCGAAGTAAGTATCAATGTTTAATTTTGGTATATTCTGTGCTGTTTCATTTAGCTGTAAGGCTGTTTCCCATTGATTAGGTAATATTACAATCTGTCTTTTGAATACAATCACAGAAAATGTCTGATTGAATCTCGAATGAACGTTACACTTTCTAGCATAGTTTGTCTCTCGTGTCCCAGAATTGCCTGGGAAAAGCATCTTTCATGGCCAGCTCTTAAGCAAAAGCATCTTTGTTTTCTGTTAAAACACCCCTGAGATTTGTAATATGCTAACAGTAATGGAGGAGCTTTCTTTTTGCTGGTAATAATGATATCAACATCTTAATTGTATGAACTATGTTTTAAAAATGTAAATAAATAGCACAAATAATTAATATTTTGAGACTTTGCTAACCTAGGTCTATAGCTGAACTTCAGATACACAGAAAATCCTATAAATGACAGCAGTTAGAATCATAGAATCAATTAAGTTGGAAAAGACCTTTAACATAGATGCTTTCCTAATTGGTCTTATTAAAATATGTGTGCTTTCTGAAGTGGATGCTTAGTAGGTGGTAAGTTTTCATTGGAACTCTCAGGTGCATCGTTCACCGGAGCAGCAAGTCTAATGCTCAGAAAAAAAATTAAGTTCTGAACCGTCATTTATGTGTATAAGTGCTGAACTCCGGTATGCAGCTTTTTCACACTCAATGCTAGGACCCAAATGCTAGGATTCTTTCTTGACTAAGAATTATTCCTCATTTCTTCTTGCATTCAATATGGCTCTTCATCTCTGAGAAGAGAGTTGCCTCAAGTCCTAAATACTTGGGTTTGGGATGCTTTACGGGAATTATTTTTTTTCTGTATGTCTATATATGTATGTATTTCATATCCATTTGCCTCTCCAGCTTCTTAGTAGCTAGTGGACTGTAAAACTTCAGATGCAGAGTGACTTCAGTTGCTTATCTGTAGGCTTTATCAATTCAATTAGGAGTAACATTCCTCTGCCCTCATTCTCCTAGTTGCTAATGGTAATAAATAATCATAAAGCTCTGAAACTTAACGATGGAGGAGGACTGAGTTGCTGAGGTAACTGTAGCTATTAAAGACCCCTTGGTGATGAGATACAGAATATTTACTGCTGAAGTGATTTAGTGATGCACTCCTACTTGGTTACTCTCCTGTGTTGCCTTGTACCTATTTTCTATCTATCTAGTAGTTCTTTTCCTTATGTATATTGATGACAGCTCTGCTGAATTTCAGGTTGTTGATTTTAGACTTTCACTTTACCAGTTTAGATTCTAACTCTTGTTTCCAAAGTGCTTGATACAGTGGCTTGGCATTTTCTGTAATTTTTGTTTCCATGCCTTTTTTTTTTTCCTCCTATCTTGCAAGTACATTGAAAATAGTTAAAGTAGAAGCTAGACTTCAGGGTATACTTTGGATTGACAAGCTGTTGATGGTAAATAGCTTTTGGTCATAGTATTCCTACATCAGATCTTGTCTGCAGCTCTATTCCTTTCATTTAGTGTTGGTTCAGCCGTGTAGCTGTAGCCCTCAACTTTGCTGTGAATAAATACCACTGAGTTCAAAAGATGCAGAGTCAGTAGGAGGGACCTGAATCTGGTCATAGGCAAAGCTGTTACAGGTAAATAATCAGCAGTACAGTCCTTCAGTTGCAAACACTGCCCTAAGTACTTCTGTTTGATTCTTTGAACACTGCTGCAGTAATAGATTTTTTCTGATGATACTGCTGCCACCATCTTAGTTGTCAAAGAAGAAACTCCTCTGTTAGTGTCAGTGTCTTCTGCAACCCCATTTGTATGCTCCTAATAACTTTTCTTATCCCTAACAGGAAATAGCAATTGCACTGTTGGGGTGACCTTGTACCTATACAACTTGTTACTTAGTTATTGTTCTTTGGAGGGTAGAAAACAGATCATTCTGACCCATTATTAATGGGTAATTTCGGTGAAAAATTAATTTAGAAGATAGTGGATATTTAAAGGAAAGACTGCATTTGTCCAAAGGAAGTGAGAGAAAATCACTCTGAGGCAGAGTATTTCTCCAGTCTGCAGTGAGGGAACTGAACATCTGAAGCAAAAGTAGATGAAATCAGTGAGAGAAGACCTGGTGGGGACCTGGCAAGGACTGAATTCCGCAGAGGAAGAGAACAAACAGGCTCCACCTGCACAAGTGACCTTTTTGCCATGGAATTTTATGGGAACTCATTCAAATAACTTAATTCTCAAGATCCCCTTACTCTTGCAGTCCTTTTACACTACATTCTGATAACAAGCAGTAAAGTGGTTTTGCTCAATTTTCCTTCCTTCTAGTTATTGTTTCCTGCCTTACTTTGTATGTGAGTGAAACTATTCACAAGAGAATGATATTCAGTCTTTCATGAAGGCATTCACAGAGGGGTGTTTGTAAGTCTTTAGTTGAGTAACATTTTTTTTTTGTGATTAAACCATAATTTTTTGATTGAAATCCTTGAATGTGAAGATCTTTCTGCACATGGAGAATTTAAAAATAAAACCAGACTTCCTCTTTTACTTACTCCCACGTATGCAGACTCTCCCTTTCTTTCTGTGATGGCTTTTAGCTATAGTATTTATTAGTGATGCAGTGGAGTTTTGTAGCATATTTGGAGCACAAAAGCCTGTGTTCAGCAAATTGGTTTGACTAATGTCATATCCATTTACCTGAACATTGGAGGTATATTTTGTTGCATTGCCAAAGAAAGCAACTAATAATACTTCTAAGAACTTTAACTGTAGGATATAGAGTGTGTGGTGTGTGTCTGTTCTTGGCAATAATTTTAGAGTGAAAATGAGATATTAAGAAAATAGATATCATTTATGCTATGTATGTGTTTTTTCACCCAAGGTTTGCAGTTCTTTCATTACAGTAAAATTCTATATATTCTGTTATAAAGCAATTAGCTGTTGTGTAACCATTCAAAGAGTACCAAAGTCCAGTTGAAACTTCTTATAAAGTTTTAGATTGTTACATATTGATACTGTATGCTTCCATCTACTGAACTGTCATGTTTGCTGTAACAACCAAATAAGCACTACTTCAGGAAATGTTTATGTAGTAACTTTATAAGAGTCTGTGTTGGACGAACTTTGTGTATAACACAATAAAAGGATACCTGTGTGAATAAGATGGTGTTTGTACTTCAGTCATATATTTTTGTTGTCCATGGATTCATCATATGGTTCCTCTAAATCAGCTTACTGGTCTGTAAAATGGCAATGATAATACCTTCCAAGCATACATTTATTCCACACCTGAGGTCTTAAATCTCAACCTGCCATAAACCTAAGTAGCAAAGGGAAATGCACAAGAACCCAACCCAATATTATATGAAGGTCCACCAGCAGAGGGAAATGGAGGTTTTCTGAAACTGTAATTAGACCTTTTGGATTTGAAGGTAAACTAGTACCAGCAGTTTTTTATGTACCTACAGAATTACACTGTAATTATATAGCAAAAGTTGCCAAAACTTTCTCAGTGCACAAATTTTCAATTTAAGACCCTACACCACAAGTAATAATAGGACTCTATACCACACCAGTGTTTGATTATAACAATAGGACCTCCCAAAGCTTTCTACCTGAAACTTCTAGATAACAAAAAGTCTCACACAGTATTTAAAGACAAGGTGAAGCAGCAGGCACTGTGATGGAGAAAGATACAGATACAAGGGCAATGGCAGGGCTGTTCTGCATTAGGTGCTCCCAACCTTTACCTGGGAAGGCTAAATGATAGCAATGGCATGTGTTAAATGATTTGGAAGCAACACCAGTTGAAAGACAGAGTAGTAAAAGGATCATATCATGATGTTATATGAATGCCTTAATTGTGATGCTATATGCACCAAGGTTCACCAAGAAAAGGCAAGAAACAATTTTACTGATTTTTCTTTTAAATTTATTTTTTCCTGTAAACCAAAAAAATCCCCAAGCAACAGAGGTGCTGCACGTCAGAGCCTGTGCAGAATATAGTGAAGGATATCCAGAGAACAATAAGAGTTCCAATCAAAGTTTAAATTATTCAAAAGGACTGATATTTTTGAAGGAGATTGCTAGAAATCTGTGACTGGTTTTTGGTATTTTTCTTTTTATTTTTTTATTTAGATCAATATGAACTCTGTTTCAGCAGTACAAGCTATCAGGTAATTGTCTTTCTTACCCATTTAGGTATGCTTTACATAAACTAATCCATACCATGTATTTGTTTTAAGGTGACCTTCCTGTCAGGTGGCAGATTATCATTTGCTTTCATTAATGCATCAACAAAAACCTGAGGAGAAATATTTCTCTCCGTAGAACTTCCCCTTCACCTGTATCACTTTAGTAACATGCATTACCTCTCCTCATTAATTTTGCCTCACTAGTATTTTTGAACAGCACAGCTACAGTAACATTGCAACTGCATCATAGAATTGTGATATGACAGATAAGGTACTGTGCAGTCATGGGTCTATATTGCTTCAACTCCTTCAGCATTTGTTTCTTATAGATTGCTTGGGTTTTAACATGAATTAAATAGTAGTAAATTGAAATAAAGAACTTAAAAAAGTTCCTGTAATGGTAAATAAGAACTTCTTGAGTTTAGAGACACTGTGAGATGATACAGAAGCTAACTATATACTTACCTTCTGTATTTCTTTTAAACCATTCAGAAAGTGAAATCTAGTCCTTTGCTGGTCTTTGATATGTTTAGGTGTTACCCAATATTGTTGCTAAAATAAAATTATTTCTGTTTTCTGTCTTAGATCACAACCACCAAGGTTTTGTAGAGTAACTTTTGAGACCAGTTATCCTGAAGATATTTTTGCAATACATTTTGCATATCTTCTTGAGCCAAACAAATTTGGAAGTGTTAAGATTTACCTTTGTAATACAATACAAAGATAGTGTTCTATCCCCCCAGTGTCTGTTTAATTTATTTAGCAAAACTGTACATAGATCTATGTTGTAGCCAGAGAATATTGTATTGCTTGGCTGTCATTTGTTATATTTCCAACAAAACCAAATCATATTCTGTCATTTGAATGAAATGACACAATCACTAGCTGACTCATATTGTTTATTTGTTCTTCCTAATGTAAGACCTGTATGGAAAAGGAATATGCAATTTCTAAAAAAATATTATGGTTTAGGATGTAACCTTTTTTCCTGTAACATAGGAAAAACATTCTTGGCTTTCTCGTACTCTAGCATAATAGATACTGCCTTTTTTTATGCATTGCTAAGCTTTCTCCTTTTGTTCCCCCACTCCTTTTCTCCTTTTATAGAATCATAGAATCATAGGATAGTTAGGGTTGGAAAGGACCTTAAGATCATCTAGTATCCTTCTCCTTTCTTCTCCTTTTCTCTTGAGATGCTGAGCAAATGATGCCAGCAAACATGCAGTGCAAAATTATGTTACATAAACAAACTGCAATATATGCCAATCAAAAGCCATACACGGAAAATAAATCTGATCTAGATGTCATCAGATCCACAGATTTTGAATCTGCTACCTCTGGCAGGTTTGTATTACAGAAGTTTTCATTTTTTCCTTTGATTTTTGTGAGTGTTGAACTAAGCTGTGGGAAGGTGAAGATGTTCCAAATGTACATATATACAAAGGACCTGGGAAGGTTTTCATTCCAATCTCGGTGTCTGAGCTGTTACATGTATCTGTCAACTCAGTAGTTTTCCACCACTCTCCTTCCACTTGTTGGTCTCTGGCCTTCTTAGGACATGGTGGCTATTCTCTCCTCAGTGACTGGTTTAGCTGTTACTTGGAATGAATCTCAATCTAAGTCAGCCACTAACTCATCTATGATGAGAGCATCTCCATTAATTATGAAGAGCTAACCATGGAAGGGTCAGTCACAGAATTTCTGCTTTATCTGTTCTTGATACTTAGTTCATTTCCCACCATGTAAAGAGCTTCATCTGCCTTCTTTCCCCTACGTGTTATTAAATGACTTTGGTAAATCTTTATTTAAGAAACTTAATGCCAGAACAAATTTAATCTTAGAAAATCTCTTGGAGGTTCTTCCTGTGCTAGTTTTCAAATGGTTCTGGCTTCTCTGAACAGAAGTGTTATTACAGTAGAAACAGAGAAATGATAGTTGATGTTGAAGAGATAAATAAGACACTGGTATTCCATATTTTATTGCTGTTTTATTAACAATCCTCAGTTTGCAACTAGGAAGTCCCATGAGGTATTACATTAACTAAATGTACTGGGGATTAGTTCATGCAATTTGCATCCAAATATCCTATTAGATGGCAGTTTGTAGTAATGGAGATAAACTTTGTGCAAAAGTTACAGTCAAAACCTTACAGAAAAAGAAGTAAGCCATGTCGTTTAATTCATTTTTATAGGTGGTAATTTGTAAATGGAAATCGTGTGGCCTAGTTGATATGGAAAAACAATTTTACATGTGGATGGTATGGTATCTTCTTTAAATAAATGATACATATCTTCATCTTTTGGTAATTCATAGCTAAATGGGCTGACCTCAGCTTTCAAAAGAATGTGTAATTTAATTTTGATTCACAATGAACATATACGGTTCTTTAAAAGGTGGGACTCTTTTGAAGTTATCCAGATCTTGGCACAGAAATACAGCCATCTCCAGACCTGTGCAAAATAACAGAGCTGTTGATGAAGGAATAAAAGAAGCATGTCATCTTTGTCATAATAAAGTCACTTGTTGGTGTATTGCAATTGTAATTTGAAATGCTGGAGAGAAAACATGTAGCATTATGCCCTGCGAGCATCATGCCCTGCCAGCATCATGCACCCACACCACAGTGATGCAAGGTGTATCCATCTCTGCGTCCCAGTGTTGTACAGCGCCACGAGGTGGAGGTAAATTGTGGGTTAATTTTCAGACTGATGGCAAGAACAGAGAATGAAGCATCAGAAATACTGTATGCATGTAGTATGTGGGATGCCCCACATACCTCACAAAATCATGAAGCGACTTAAATTATATCAGTACAGTACCCTGTGTTTGTACTTTGGACTCCAGTATTAGGGTATGTGCAAAATACAAAAAACATCTGATGTGCACTGTTCAATCTTCTTTGACTTGTTACTTAATTCTGCATACATATGTACAATGTGATACAACAAATATTAAATGTATATACTAAAACACATGAATTCAAACCCCCATTTATTTTATCAATTGCTAAAGCTTATTTGATCACAAGGGACAGGGAGACCAAACAGCTATAAAAGAGCTCCATTTTCTATCAACTGAACCAAATCCTTCTTTGATCTGTTAATCCCAAGTTTATAAGGTTAGGAGATAAGCAAGCGTAACTAAATTCCTTTTTCTTTTTGTCCACCTAATAGTCTATGAAGCAAAGCAAACATAATAAGCTTCTTTGCTGCTTTTCAGCCTCTTCTTGCTGAATAATTCAAAAAGTGCATTACAGGTTTTATGAGTACAACTGTACACACAAGCAATATTCCATGATTATTTTTTTTGCATGCCTCAAATTTGCATATATTATATTTTTATTTTGCATTTCTGACAGGGAAGCTGACTGCCTAGTCGTTCTTGGCTTTTTATTAGGTCTTTGATGCTTGCTGGAGGAGAAGGCCTCTTTTGTCTCTGATAGCCTTAAGGCAGATCTAGGTTAGCAAGAAAGCCAGAGGTTTCAGGCTTGTTAAATGTCACAGTAATGGCTGTCTTTACGCATTGAAATACCAGCCTTCTTCTTTATAGGAAAATGAATCACATTACCACCAAGGGAAGGAAAGCCTTTGTTGGAGGAGACTGCTAGTCTGCTACTTAAGAAGAGGATTTAATTTTCCCCTCCAGGCTTTTTGGCCAGCCCACTACAGTTGCCCTTGTGGAACTCTGATATCATAGCATGAGAAGGATAGCAAACAAGAAAGAGCAATTAGCCATTAATCATACTCATTTTGCACTGGATGAACAGACCATTTAAAATACTGTATGTGTTCAGTACGTGAGCAAGAATAGACTCTGGACAAAGCATGAATGTGTAGGCATGAGTGTATAGGATTTTATTCTTGCACTCTGGATAAGCATTTCTTGTTTAATTCTTATTCAGTGTCACTAGTGTTATGCATACTGCTCCTTATTAAACCCCTCTCATAAGTTTTGGTGCAGAGATAATTAAATTGAAGGTTTATGTTGCCTACAAAGTGCCCATTTTTCATTTCTCATAAAAGTGGGTGCATTACTTTTAAATAAACATGTAAGAACTAAACTATTAATTCTGCAAAAAGAAAAAAATGATTGAAATAATTGATTACAATGTTATTCTCTATGTTTTTATCTGTTTCATGAAATAAAGAGTGGTTGATTGGTACTGTGTTGTTGCATGTATAATTAAATGCTTATATAGATAAATGTATACTTAGACTTTGTATTTAGTTACATTAGTGTAAAGGGAATGAAACTTCTTAACTAAATAGAAGCATATATTCATTATTTTGTCAAATACTATTTTGGTAGAAAGCAGAATTAAAGGGAGTTTTATTGATTACATAAGAGCATTAGCATGTGTAATGGGGAAGTGTTAGAAAAAGTAAGTTTGTCAAGATCTTTTGCAATTGAGACCAATTTATTACAAAAAGAAAATACTGTTGGTGGGTGTTGAATTGACCTGATTGCTTCTAGTTCCCAGGTCCTTTAAGTTCCTTGGACTAGTAGATTTCATTTTTCCATAAGGAAAGTAAGTTAGTTATTCTGCTTTTTCAGTCACATACCTTTTGGTGAACTTGACATCAATTTAGAGTGGTTCATTTATCTGAAAAGAAAGAGAAATAAGGCATCTGTTGTTATTAAATCTAGCAGAACAGCTTCATTTGAATGCTGACCTAGGTACTTCGATCCAAACACTATCCTTTGCTTTCTGAGCTGCAACAACTGTCTTTTACTTTTTGGACTTGATTTGTGACCTTTCCTGTACTTCACCCTGTAGAGCTGAAAGAAATGCTTATAAGAAATGTCAGAGCTTACATGTCCTCCCTCCTTATCAATCTGCATGCTTCTGATTTCCAGAAAATGTCCAGAGCCTCTCTCATCTTTGGTTACTGAGAAGAATGTGATCTCCTCATGTCTGAAACTGTATCTGGAAAGATGCCACTGCATGACTTTCAGGTATGTTTTCCTGGTGAGGAAACCAAGGGATCACAATATTAATTTCAATTACAAATGACATTGTTCCTTGACCTTTGCTAATCCACATAATTAAGCATGCAATATCTGTCTTAATTCTAATAGAATTGCTGGTCATATGGTGAAGAGTTTTGTGATTCAGAGAATTAGTTCTTAGCTCTCTTACAGTGCTTTTGGGTGATCTTTGGCAAGTCACTTGCTTTAATGTATTGGTTCCCTGACTTTGAAAAACAGGTTAAAGACAGTCTCCAAGGAATGATGTTTGCTGGATGTGTCATGAAAGAAGTAAGTTTAAGGAGAAATTTAAGGGGGCAACCTTGTTTTTCACCTGAAAGTTTCATATTTTTAAACCATGCTTTCCAAGCACAGAGCCTAGAAATTTGTTAGAAAAGAAAGTGGAAGTCTGGTTGATCATAAGATGATTCTAAAACCTAAAATTTTAAGGAAAGTATCTACAGTCATGAGATAGGAAATTCTTAAAATGTACTTTTAATTAGGATCTTTGCCTACTAAAGTCCTTGTAGAATAGTAGATTCTGCCTACCATTCTGTAACACACTAATGCTAGTTTTCTTTAAATATTGCATGCTATTATTCATTTTCGTTTTCTTTCATTTCAAATTTAGGAAACACTTTTTTTTTGTTCTTTTTTTAACTTAGTCTTATTCACCACATATTTATATTTTTCTACCTGTCTGTAATGATATTCAAACTGAACAGATACACTTCTTTCTGCATCCTTTTTTTACTTTAAAAAAAGTTCTACAGGAGTTCAGATTACTTCAGATTCCTTCAATGTACTACTGGTGTGCCTTATAAATAAAGTCAGTAAGGACTTTAATTACTATATTCTGCAGAATTTACTAAATATAATTTCATACTTTTGTTTTGATTTGAACTTAACAAAGTAGTATAAACTAGGCGGTAGATTATGCTGTAAAACAAAAGTAATTTTCCAAGAAAAGTATCCAAATTTTCCAAGAAAGTAGGCAAGTATCTGTCACTATTTGTATATATAAATATTAGTTGTATGTAAACTTGGCAATGTGGGATTGTGCAGGTTATCTGTAGTAACTTATAGCCCTTTTCTGAAAATGTATCCCTTCAAATATACAATACAGCAAGTAGAATAGGAGAAGAAGTCAGGGTAGGTAGCTTGTTTAAAAAGTAATAGAAAAGTCATGAGGAGACTGTTGTTCCTGTCAACTAGGTGCAGTTAGTAACTCAGTGCTAGAAACTCCACAGATAAAATGTTATTGACGAAAATGCTCAAAATAAATATGAATAAAGTGCTAAAAGTGATTGCACTTCCGGGGAGAAAAAAAAAGTAAAGATCAGTCAATTAGGCGTTCTTAACTGTATTAGATTTCAATCATGGAACTACAAAAGGTGTGATGACAGACAATTCTTTTTAGAACGTTGAGGTTGTTCCAGTAACCCTGTGTTTCTTATAATAGTATTCCTGAGATAATGATGGTGTTAAGGTGATCCAAAATCTATCTGGATTCAAAAAAGAACTTTCCAGTGGTCTCAAAGTCTCCTAGATCAGGATCATTGACTACAAAGTACAAACGAAACTGAGTCAAATAATCTGTCCTTGCATAGAATTAATAGAATTAAAAAGAAAATAGATAAACAAGGTAAACAAAGGGAACATACTTGTTCATTTTAAATAATGTTGCAGACAGGCAGAATCTCACAGGATAACTAATAATTATGTAAAAGGATATTGTGAATTATTTTTTGTAAGAAAGGGAACTGCTCATTGAGTATTACTGTTTGTACGACTGTGTACCCTTCCCCTATTATTCTGAAAAATTGCTACCTCTAGTAATTGCATGTAATTGCAGGTTCCTGAGTAGCTGTCACGTTAGTAAACTTGAATGAGGAAAAAGATAACATATAATGCTTTTTTAAAATAGAAAATAAAATAAGCATAATTGCTGTGGTGTAGGATGCATCAAGTTTTGGGCTTGTTAGTTTTGACCATGTATGTTTAATCATGTGTCCTCACATTTTCATTTTGAGTAATAACAGTGATGTTTAAAGCAGTATTCAAATGGGTGGTACTTATAGTGGAAACCAATAGCTGGTTAAAACCAGATTCAAATCTTTTTTTGGATCAAAAAAGCAGAAAGTCTGGTATATACATGATAATTTCACATACAGGGATATAAATGTCTCTAAATATCAGATTACCTATTTATGGCATGCTTTACTTCCATAGTTTAGAGAAGAGTCTTGGGATACTCATACACAGTTGGATGGTTCTGGTTCAACTTAAGAATGGCAACAAAGCTCTTTAAAAAGGAAACGGATTTGCAAATGCTGTGGATAGTGTATATAGTATTTTTATATTTCATATTTAAAGTGTTTTAAAAAATAAGGCTAAAATTCTTGTCTAGAAAACCAAATTTTGGGCCTTCATCATAATGAGCAATTTTTTTATTTCAAATGGGCAAAACCCATAAAAGAATGTCTCCCCTTCCATTTGTAAGAGGATTTTCACTCTTCCAACATCAGGTGGTGGGGACCAAGTGGATATTTCAGTGTATATTCCTGTACAGTGTCAACTTCAAGCTTAGCTTTGCCTTGTTCAGAAACTAGGAAAGATTAATCTTTGGTCTGTGGCCTAAGAGGAGTTTCCTGCAGTAGAGGAACCATTGGTAATTTGGTGTTTTAGGGCCAACATTGGCTACTAGTGTAGCAGTAAAGAGGGGAGCAAGGGAAGGTATTCTTGCTCTTCTTACTGCCAAAATGCTACAGGTAAAAGGAAAGAAATTATCTGTGTCAATAAAGACACCAGGGGAAAAGCTCTGATTAAATGAGTTGTCCTTCAGCAGCACTGAAAGATGTCTTTCATCAAGAACATAGCCTGTTTGTGTGCCTCCCTCCCCCTCTGTCTTCTCTTGCAGTATGCAAATATTTTCTTTTTTTTTTTTTTTTCTTTTTTTCCCCTTTCTTGCACAGCTTGATATGTGATTGGTTCTCTCTTTCAACACAAATGACTGTAGATAGATTTTTGCTATTTAAATTCAGTATCTACACCTTGGTTCTCAAACACAGGGGGAAAACAATATAGTTCTGCCTGTAGGAGGTTGAATTTGTAAATATATATTAGTTTGGAAATACAATGAGAGATAATAAAATATTCAAAAAGCAGCCTACTCTTGTGGGGTATTATTCTGCACAGCCAGGGAGCAGATTAATGACACCACACAGAAAAACATAAGATATGCACAATAAAATATGGATTGGGGTAGTAATGTGGGAACTAAAATTCCAGTCCTGGCAGCCTGTGAAACACATGTGTTTTAACAAAGTTTATCAGCTTTAAATAGCAACATTTAAAAGCAGTTGTTATTTAGTTGGGAGATGTGAAATTTTCTATCCCAAGCAGCTAACCACCAGCCACAAGAATTGTTTCCTATTCAGGTGTGAGTGGTATTGTTCTCCTGAATAAGATTTAGAGCCAATAAGTCCATCTTGGGTGAATTTTGAAGCTGTGTTTGGTTTGTTTTTTTTTTTTCAGGAAAGTGTTCTAGGAAGCATCCTGTCAAGGGGCTGTGCATATAGCAATGAGGTTGTTATATTTGTCTTCATTTCAATTTCATTTTATACTTCAGACCTAAGCTGCAATCTTGAAGTGCCTTCATGTAGGAGGATGTAGGAAAAAAGCGTCAGAAGGGGAGTTAGTTCCGCTGGTCCCTGGCTATGTGCCTCGGATGCTGCACTATGAACCTGTGGGTTCTCCACTTCTGTTTGCTAGTTGACTACTGACCTTTCTGACTGCAACCTATTGTCTTAGATTCATGCAGGACAATTTCCAGTATATTTATAAAGGTGGGAAGTATGGTGTCATATGTTAAATAAATACTCTTTAAGTTTGGATGAAATCTGTCATCAGCTGCTCTCCAAAGTCTTCAGCCCAGTTTGCATTTTAACACTATAGACAGTAAGATGTGGCATTTGCAGTAATATTTTGCAAACACGTCTTCTTTAGGCAATGCTAATAGTACTACTTGTAGTGAAGCTTGTTTGAAATTAGAAAATACTTAACTGCTGCTGACAACTTTCACAAAATTCAATAGCTTGGTTTGAAAACTTCCCGTCAGATATCCAGTTTTATCAGCCAAAGAGGGTGTGCTGCTTTGGGAACAAGGGGCAAGAGAGTGATCTTTGCAAGTAGTGAGAAAACATAATCCTGACCTTAAAAAATTGTCTGAGTCCAAGATGCTTATCCAGGATGAGAAATTTGAAGGGGAGAATAAGGTTTTGTTTTAGTGACCTGCTCTTTATTTATCACTGTGGACAGTCACTAAGATCTGGCAAGTGTAGATGCATGTGTGAAACCTGCTTATTTTGCGGAGCCAGGCAGGGGCTTCCATTTAATATTACCTGGATTTGCACTTCCTTTGTAATTTCAGTTCTGGAGTGCTGAGGGCCAGGCAGTGTTGGTGTCTGAATGCTTGTACCCAGACAGCAGGAGCAAGGGAGGATATTTTTCTTGCACTTGAAATAATACATCTCTTCTCCCCATACCTGACCTCGGCCGGAAGCAGCACGTTGCAAGAGTAATAGCCTGGGATGCAGATGGGAGAGTTAGGAAAAAAATATGTACGTATTCGTTAGCTGTTGGAATTATGGTTGTACACACAAACCTGTGTTTGATAGTCCCCATTTTAAGTTTTCAACTTAATGTAAGGCTTTTTAATGCTTAATCTCTTTATATGTATTTATAAATGTGTATGTATGGGCATATATGCAAACATACAAATGAACAGACAAAACACAATTAACTTGATTTAATAAGAGGAAGGGAGTGTTATATACAGTGTTAGAGCTGGATAATGATATTCATAAACTTGATCTTTTTCTGGTAAGTTTTTGTAAGTGAGCAGCTGTATTGAACATTATAATCATGAAACATGAGTTTAGCTGATGTATTTTTCAATTTCTAGATTTTGAAACTTTGTATTGCCA